AAAAAAAAAAAGAAAAGAAAAGAAACTGAATTGACCACATTTCCTATGTTCAGAAACAAAGGAAATCGAACATAGATATTCATTTTTTCATTTTTCATTTTTTAATTCCTAAAAATATAAAAATTGAAAGCCGATTTTCATTTTCATTTTTCTATATTTAGAGAAAAATGAAAATTGAAAATCAATTGTCAATTTTTATTTTTCACTTTTTAATTTTAAAAAAAATGGAAATTAAACCCAGGTTTTCATTTTTCATTTTTCAACTTTCAGAAAAAATGAATGACCTTAATATACACGCATTGAATGGATACTCGTCGGAAATTTTGAATCAAAACCCTAAAGGAGACCAATCTGGGCGTGGTCCAACCTTTTTTTGACCCCTAAAAACGATCATTTTAAACTTTGATTACATGAATCGAGTAAATAAAACGAATTGAAGATATACAATTTTTTAATATTTCTTCGAGTGCAACCCTAAAAGAGACCTTTACGGCTAAATATAATGGTGTTTTACCCAGAACACCCTAAGCGAGACCAAAATCTGAAATTTACACCCCTAAGCGAGACGACGAGCATCCCCGCCCCTTTCATATGGAAGTCCCTCCCCCGGGGCGTCTTAATTTTCGTACAGTTAAGGTGGTTCCGTGGGAACGGAACACCTAAATCTTTAACAATTGAAAACTGCAGACAATGTTCATTCTTATAAATAATAATAAAAATAAATACTTAATTATCCACTCCCCTTACCGGGCTTTTCAGGGATAATGAAACAATGGTAGTCTATACACTAGAGCATAAATAAGCTAAGAAATATTTCAAGACAAGTAAATTTTAAATACTTCAAGTAAAATAAAGCTTCACAACCTGCAAAACTGATTCTTTTTTACTTCAGGTTATTTTCTCACGCAACAAAATTAAGATTGATTGACATGTCTCGCCTTCCTCAAAGCTCAAGAAACCGCAAAACCGCAAGTCAGCTAAGTCGGTCATAAGGATGGTTTTCAAGTCGCTTGAAACTTTCTTGAATCGTTTCAACTTTCCGAGATGCAAAGCAAAGTTACTTGAGATCTTACTTAGGCCTTCACACACGAATTTTTGGTTAAGTAAAACTTAGCTGCTCTTAAGTCTTACTTAACAGCCTAGTGTACAGACAGCCAATAATTCAATTAGAACATTACGTGTTTAAGAATCCCAACTGGTAGGGGGCAAACCAGTTGGCTATTTACAAGCGTGGCCGAGGATTCGAACTCGGGACTACGGGGAACAAATCCAGCTTGTGGTCAGAGCGGGACTTTAACTCGGGTCCTCAGGATTACACGTCCAGCGCTCTAACCGCTCGTCCACGCTGCCTCCACTATTCTTTGGATAGTCAAAGCACAATTCTGCCTTCTCATCCAAGTAGGTGTAGCAAAGTCCCAGCAAAGACTAGATCAAGTCGCGCTAGCTTTTACCCGAGTTAAGTCACTGGCAATATTCTTCCTTAGGCATTTTTAATATCTACTGGTAGCTATTGGGGAAGGGGACAGGAAAATACTTATTAATAACCTATTGATTTACAAGGGATGCCATGGAACCGAGGTTTTAGTGAAGGCTGCCATGTCAAGTTGAGTGGACGAGCGTTGTGCTTTGTATTTCCCCCCCCCCCCCCCTCCTCTTGGGTTCGGGTTGTTGTTTCCCCCCCCCCCCCCCGGCTTGTTTTTTTTTTTTTTTTTTTCTCTTTTTTATATAATATATTGTTTTTATAATAATTTTTAGTAAAAGTTTTTTTAATATAGGTTTATTAAAATATAAT